TCAAGGATGTCCATAGTCGGTCTGTCTCGATGACCGTTGCATGTCATATTATACGTGCTGTCTCAACTGTCTTGATGTTGCTATGTTTTGTTCAAGTGCGGCTCAGTTCTGTGTTTGTAGGGCTGTGTTGAATGCTAGGATTCGAAAAGGAAGTAGTAATTATCTGGTATAAGAAAACATCGCATGCTTCCAAGATTTGTGGGATGTTGTGACTTCAGATTTATAGGTAAGCTCACGTGTAGCCATGGATCCTTCGTCTGTGATGTCAGAGAAGTTGAAGCGTCTCTGTGCAGCTGTGTGTCCATGGGTGGTGGAGTCCGGGACAAAGTACAACGAGGAAGGACCGACGATGCGCCGACACAGGTTTATTCATGTGCTGGCTTATGGATCTACTGCACCATTTATTGCGGACGGAATGACCCAAGTACACGCCTGAGTTGATTTTTTGCAAGGGATCGACTGCCCACCCCCCCCCCACCCGAACTTAGAAAAGCTTCGCACGAGGAACAGGTGGCAGTGGCAGCACTTCGGTCGTTTGTTTCTGGGGAATGTATCCGGAATCCTGAGGGACGGGCATTGTGCCTCTCGATTGCAAGTGCTTGAGTTTGACAACAAGAACTAGTGAGTTCTTGATGCTGGAAGAGTGTATCCCAGGTTTGCAAATGATCACTCGTATATACCCTGGCGGACTGTTTTATGCTTTGCCACTCGACTCGACATGCTGGAGCATTGAAGAATCAGAAATATTTGATTTTCTCTCAGGCCGTTCCCTCTGTCAGCAGCCCGAGACGATCACAAGACGGTCATAGCGACTTGCCCCCCTGGTTAATTGAATGGGGCTACGGTGCCGACTTTTTGGTCGTGCTGAACTTAGGAATTCCTCCGGGATGCAGTGGAGCTGTGCTATGCGATCGGTGTGAGATTCGTTATCCACGTGCCCTACAAGTACGGCCATGCTTTCATGAACGGAGCTATGAAGGATTGGTCGCGAAAGTTTCAAATCCTTTACCCCGTGAATTGCCGCCTGCAGGAGACACTCGATCGGTTTCATTTCGAGAAGGTCGCTTTCAATATGAAGTGTTTCGGTGCAGCTGAGCAGTATCTTGGTCGAAATACCATGAAGAGGCTTTGCTTGCATCAGTAGTTAATTAATAGATACAATAATGATATGCCTGAGGTTTCCTACGTTATTGCTGGGAGACGACAGGCTTCTGATGAGATCACTGAAAGGCCTCTCGAGCAGGTTGTTGCCCTTGCGACCTGCTTGCACTGGACTGATTCGAGCCGGTTTGAGCATGGGGCCTGATTTGTTGCTTGTTCTGAGGTACCAACTGATGAAGCATCCCAAAGACTCGGAGGAGGGGTTCAAGGAAGCGGATCCGTGTGAGATGACCGGAACCTTTGGTTTCGCGGCCACTTGTTTCAATGGTGACCCTGAGACATGGAATCAGCCTTTCAATATTGGTCAGATCTAAGGTGGTGGAGATTGTGGTCCTGAGGCATCGACGGAATCTTAGAGCCTCCAACATCCCGGCAATTTTGGATGCAGTGGCCAAGAAGTTGGCCGACCAGGCCTGGGGTTGATGCCACAAGCCGAAGCCACGGTGTCATAATCGAGTCTCTTTCGGTTGTGGTTTGCCAAGGACTTGGATGAATGGTATACGTCGGTCGATGAACCCGCCATCTCCCTCCCGAAGAAGAAAAGGCGCATGGAGGACCTTATTTTTGAGGCCAGGATCCTGTTGATTGAAGGATTTGGTTGTCCTGTCAAAGTAACAGCCCCATCCTGTAAAGGCTGACGAATTCTTCGTCACGCGGCCAGTGCCTCCGGCGGTGCCTCCGCCAGTGGCATAGCTACAGACTTCAGTGATTCAGCTGGTTTGTATTTCGTCGTTGGCTAGTTATCATGACATTCGAATGTAGGATCCTCCAGCCTCGAGCAACAAGGGATGGGAAACGCTGGATGAATGAACTGCGACTCTTGGCTGGACTTAATCGATTAAATATTAATCATAATGATTAGGGTGGGAGATGCAATGGTTCACTGAACCAATGCACCAGTAGTAATTGAGCCAGATCCTAATATGGCTGTAATTGGTCGCCTGCCAAGATACCATATAATTAATTCTCTCTGTGTCTGTGCCCGATTGATTTATTTATTATTGAACGGACTTGATTCTTTAGTCAGTAGATATATTTAGAATTAAAAGGCCTGGTCGTAGCAGTCCCGGTGCCATTGGCAGTAGGGTAAGAGTAGAATCAGTAGTAGTAGTAGTAGTAGTAGTAGTAGTAGTACTAGTACTAGTACTAGTGTAGTAGTAGTAGTAGTAGTAGTATTAGTAGTAGTAGTAGTAGCAGTAGTAGTAGTAGTAGTAGTAGCAGTAGTAGTAGTAGTAGTAGTAGTAGTAGTAGTCGCACCAGTAGTACTAGTACGAGTCCTAGTGTTGAGTTACAGTAGCGGTAGTTGTCCAATTTGGTGCTGTTGATGGAGCGGTAGTTAGCACTTGTGTTGGCGGTTCTAGCGGTAGTCATGATTTATTATTGGTTTAGTCATGTATGATTCAATTTAGGACGGAAACTGGGATGCTGGAATCCAGTGGAGGAGATCTGCTAGCGGCTGGGCTTGGAAATCACATAACATTTCGGCTTTTCAGATTGAGTTGGTGTGATCTTTGCCCAGGTAGTCCTCAGCCTGCTGTAGCCGAGTGTCTGTAGCAATGGTATTGCCATCGTGGCCCATTCTCCCCAGTATCCGAAACTCTCAGGTTGGGTTGGTGCCTCCGTGGGATTGCCCGTGGTCGGCTGCTGTGACTAGCTGCACAGATGTTTAATTTATTTAATTCATTTGATTCATTGCTGTGCTTGGGCGGCAAAATCGAGACTTAGTTTGGCCGCTGTTGTCAGATTGGGACGAGGGGTTGGCTTGCAACGAATAAGGCAGTACTATGCATTGTCGTGTATTC